TGGAATAGCTAACAACTAACAACAGGGACAACAGCTAACGTAGCTGGCAATTGTTAAAAAACAGTTAACAACAGCTAACAGTAGGCGTCCATCTTGGTTTTCCGACTTGTTTACTGGAACACAGTCAAATAGGGTGTAACATCAGTCCCACCTCTGACATCCAACTTCCAAAGTAACTAGAAGCTAATTTCAGCTAATTTGCCCTCATCATGCACAAACCTATTTACCTAAATTTTTTACCGTGTCCAACGCACCTTCAAAACCTCAAGAGTTTAAAAGTACAATAGGCTTCAAAAAGCTGAATAATCGAATTAAAGAATAGACAATCCATATGATAAATAATTCCAGCCTGATACTTGTGGAGGTCCAATTAGGAACCTCTTCTCAGCTGAACAGTTACCTTTATGCTTGATTATAAACTCTTCAGTAGATGTTGTCATCTCGTTATCGTTGATTCAGCACTTACAAACCTTGGAGCTTCCTTGTATCTCATTCATGCGTTAATACATGAAATATTGAAATCTCATTAAATCATAATAAACTTTGAGTTTACAAAGTGTTTAACAAGTAAATACCAGAGTCCATCCAGACGATTAAAAATGCATCAAAAAACTTTTAAGATGAAAAAAGAGGGAGACAGATAAACAGAGTGTGGATGAGCAGACTCCAGCACTGATATGTTATTCTGTTTTAACTCTGGCAGAGTGTGATATCTCCGTTCAGCCAGCAGACGCCCTCTAACCTTCTCCTCTGAATCAGTAATAAGACACAGTCAGAAAGTGGATTTAATGCAGCCAAATCTGACGCAACAGAGACACAGACCACAACTAAGAGCTGCTGATCAGTCTTGGTTAAGGGAGGATGAGAGGATTACATGACACAGCGGGTAACGCAATACATGCAGCTCCCCGTCTGAAGATCATGTACACAGAACTGGAAAGTGCTTTTAAGCGAGGTGAGGGATGCTGGTTTGTTCTCAGCGAGATAACGGCGTTCTGTCATAAAAACTCATGAGGGCTGCAGAGGGGTGAAAATAGCACTGAGTGCACCGTGGCTCTCATATCATCAGGTGAAGACAGTGAAACATAAGACAGCGAGATGACAGAAATGATGATGATGAATGTTCATACCGGGTTTCACCACCACGAGGGCTACGTGGAACTCAAGTCCTCATTTCACCTCTTGCCATGTAGTCTACCTGAAATCGATGAAACCTGACAAGGAGTGAACAAAACCCTTAAATGTGCTGCAAAAACTTTCCATCCATCAGTCTTCAAACTTGCTCAGCCTTTTTTTTTTTTTTTTTTTTGTGGGACTGCAGGATGTTTTATCGTTGTCTCAGCAGAATTTATGAAGATGTGTCGCCCGGACAGAATCAGTGGGAGGTTTTGAACAAAGTTTTTTTTTTGTTTTTTTTTCCATGGAAAGTTTATTGGAAGTAACGCAAATTTGACATCAGACGGCTAAGCATCTTGATAAAAAGGGTAGAAATTTTCCTGCTGCTGTTTCGTATGGTTGAACGAGGAATCTGTGATCATATACATCACTGATGACTCTTTTGTAAACAAAGGCCAGTGTGAAACGGCTTTGCCGCTGGGCTGTTACACCTTTAAAGATCAGACCCGGAAGCTGTAGGTTATGTTATAACAGAAGGCAGTATAACAAGTTCTGTGTGCCAACATGGCTAAAATGCAAGCTATGGGCACTAATGACTAGGCTTGGTTATTCAATGCATAACTTATTTTAAAGGGACATTCTGGCATAAATTTGAGTTGTGGTCAAACACACCATAACACCGAGTTAGACACCCCCTCGAGAGATGAATGTTGCCGACAGCTTGCTTTTCTAGTTATACCAACTTTAGGAGCAACCACACAATAGCAATACACAGCGGTCTCTGTCTCGGTCTATGTCAACCAAAGAGCCACTCGATTGCCACAAATAATGTTCAGAACAGCACCTAACTTCATCAACAGTACATATAGGGTCCCAGCAGTAGTACTAGCCATCATGTTTGATGTTTAGTTTTGCCTGGTTTCTTTAGCAAAGAGATTAAACACAACTCACCTACTCTCCTCCAGAAGCCACTTGTTTGTGGGGGAGCAATAACGAGTCTCGCAGCTCAAGGAAGAACATTTATGATTATTTCTTCATGTAACCAGACCGAGACGCTAAGGCAGAAGAGCTACCGCATCTGCAGTGCAAAATGATTATTATGATGATTATTACTTCATGGACATGACTTGTTGCTGAAGTTGGTTTAGCTAGAGAAGCAAACAGTCTGCAACATTCATCTCTTGAGGGGTTGTCTAACTCTGTATTATGGTGTGTTTGACCATAAGTCAAAATTTCATCAGAATATCCCTTTAAGGTATAACTTTTCAGTTGTTTCGGGACTACAAAGCTGTGTAAAAAGCAACACTCCCAAGCTGTGGCTAACTATCACTAAACGAGCCGTTAAAATGAGGTGCTCATGGCAGAGGTTGAATATCTTGACAGCTGTGCCTGTTGCTTTTACAATGGTTAAAAAAAGCAATATATCCATTTTAATTTGAAGCTTTCTGTGTTTTCCATCTGTTTATGCATAAGAAAAACACATTTGTGCAACACATCAGTTCTTCTTTAAAACACGCTCTTTGACTTCTGCTCACTCTAAGTCAAGGCTGTGACATTAATAGATCCTATCTTCTCACTGCAGGACAAAACAGCTTCATTCTCAGTGAAGACAACAACTACATTGTCAACATAGAGACTGTATATGTTCCTGTAGTGCTTATCTTAAGCAGAGAAACAATAGTCCCGGTGACCTGCAGAGCTATGCAGCTAACGCGGATCCGCTCATTACGTGGACATCATTGGACAAACAATCTGCCTCTGTTTTGACACTGTGCTACAGCTGAGCTGCCATGCTGTCCTGATCATGCTATAACTCATGACATGACTGTGGAGTCACAGTGGCAGTCCTCCTCTGGAAAAAAAGTATTATCAGTTAACACATCATGCCGTCCCAATTTAGGCGGCTGTTAAGGTGTCAGGGTGAAGAATGGGCAGGCTTAGCATCCCTGTAGGGGTTATTAAGTGGCCCAGCACAGAGCGTCCCAATGCTGGCTCCTTGGTGACGGATAGAGATGCGAAAAACCCTGTCTGATACACGCTCTAATGAAGGTTGTCTACACTGTCACTGGGAGATGTGAATACGACCACTGGACACTCTTGTTAATATTTTAAAGGCGCTGTGAAACGACAAGTCATGCCACTGCACGCTGTTTGTCTTAGACAGGACAAGCAGCAACTAAACGAGACAGTCTGAATGGAAAAAAAAATGTGAATGCATTCAATAAAAAATGAATTATGTGGTCCATGACGGCCTTAACCAACCTGAGAGAAATGTGAAAATGTAAACTCATCTAAATACAGAGTCCTTTCACCAGCCAAAATGTGACTGATGCAAATTTAAGATATGCATTATCTCACCACACCTGTGACTCTAAACAGATACACAATAGCCTAGAGGTAGGTAGAGGGATGAATTACCGCATAAAATAAATTCAGTGTGGGTGATCAGACTGTTTGCAGCAGGACAAGCCTTTTAGCAATCCCACATCATGGCTGTAAACATGTCACTGGCTGTTTTTCACCAGTCTGCTGTCCACCACTCTTATTCAGACTGATGTATGTATAAAAGGCCTAATGAGGATCGAGTGGCATCCTCTGGTCTTGAAATATGACGCAAACGCAGAAGTGCTTCAAACTTCCTCGACCACAGACTGTGATAGTTCTTACTTTTTCTTCTTATACTCAGCAGCCACTTCATTAGATACCAGGTTGGATAGATACCCTCTTTTGCTCTATCCCTGATGAGGATCTCCCATTCCCCCACATCCAAAATGAGCTCTACTGGATTTAGATCTAGTGACCGTGGAGGCCAAGAAACCAGTTGAAGATGATATGAGCTTTGTCACATGGTGCATTATCCTGCTGGAAGTAACCGTCAGAGGACGGGTACACTGATCATAAAGGGATGGACATGGTCATCAATAGCCAGGTAGGATGTGGTGTTTAAATAATGCTCTGTTGGTACTAAAGGGTCCAAAGTATGCCAGGAAAAAACCCCAACACTATAACACCAGCGGGAGCAGCCTGAACCGTTAATACAAGGCAGGGTGGATCCATGCTTTAATGTTGTTTGTGCCAAATTCTGACCAATAATAGTCCAGTTATGGTGAGTCTGTGTGACCTGTAGTCTCAGTTTCCTGTTCTTAACTGACAGGAGTGGCACCAGATCTTGTCTTCTGCTGTTGTCGTCCATCTGCTTCAAAGTTCGACATGTTGCGCATTCAGAGATGGTGTTTTGCATACTTTGGTTGTAATGATTGATTAGTTGGTTTATTGTTGCCTTTCTATCATCTTGAACCAATCAAGTCATGCAGTCAGCCTCCCCTTTTGCTGCAAATGAAAGGGTCGCTATAATCCATGTCTGGCAGAAGATTTAATCCAAACACGACCTTAAATCTACAGAGGTTGTATGTACATGCTCAAGTTGTCTGCGATCCATCTTACCATTCCAAACACCTAGAACAGACACCTAACAGATAGCTTTGGTTTAATGAACTTTTGAGGTTGATTTGTTCTCGTGTGAAAGCTGTCAATCAAACCCTGCTGAGTACCAAACAACTGTGACGAGACCATTGGAGAAGGTGAATCTCAGTCTGCTTTCACAGACTCTGGTGTGGTTTGTTTGTAATGAGAACATAAACTGACCACAAGAACCACCGTGCTTTTTATCTATCTAACCAAATAATGCAGCCAATCAAACATGTTAAAAACCTCAGATATACGTTATCAGGCAGCTGACAAGTAAAATAAAATGGAAATATCCCAAAAGTAGTCTTTTAGTCTTTACCCAAGCTTTATTCTTAGGTTTTACTGTCAATTTATTGATTTATCTATGCTTTATTAGCATTTATGCATACCCTCTGCTGGCTCAGCTCCTCACAGTGACACACACACACACAAATCACAAAAATAATGAGTTCAGTTTAAGATTATGGTAGAATATATCTACTGGACCAATAATTCAGTTTTTAAGTGGCAATTTAAAGATATTTATATAAAGTACTTATGCATGTAAGTTTCACATAGAGTTGGTTACTGTCCACCTTGACTTTGTTGGAGTTTCATCTGATTTGCCTTGACTGTCACTTTCACTTCACCTGATATAAACTCTAACTTCGCTGTCTCTGTACATTCAGACTGTCTTTTCGCTCCTGACTCTTGTTTCACAACAAACCGGAGAACCTTCCCTCCTGCTGCCCCCCCTCTCCCCGAAGAGGTCACACTTTTTGCCCACTCCGACATGACAGATCACTGAGGTAACCTCTGTGTGTTTGAGCCTGTCAGACCACCGCTAAAGTTTACTGTGGTAGCATAATGACACCCACTCTTCTCCTCCTCTTCCTCCAGCCAGGACTTCCTCTGGGAGCTGCAGAGAGAGAAGGAAGGAGAGAGAGACGCGGGAGGGTGACAGAGGAGTGATAATGATGTGAAAAAGTGGCCTGACCTTGGGATGATTGGGATCATGGACGTGAGGGCTTCGCCTACGGGGCTACAGCTGGGCTAAATCTCACATCACATCTTTACTCGGAGAACTCACTCGCTGTCAGAGGAGGAACATGCTTCAGTGGGCTCACAGAGCGCTGTTGTTTTTCCTCAGAGCAGGACAGGATGAATGAACTCTGCAGGTATATTTTTATCACCACAGCAGGGGGGCCTTTTTACCACAACTCTCTATTCTTCTCTCCTCCTAAAATATGCATTTAATGGAGGTGTTTTTCATGACAACAGGAGACAGTCAGCGCTTTGATGGATTTTGATGAAAAAGGAAACAATAAAAGTTTCTTTATGCAGGGATGGTTCAATAAAAGCAAAGATTGTTGTTCTAGAGTACAAATATAAGTTTAAAGCCAAAAAAAAGACAGGGTGCACATGAGGTGAGGTTGAGAATACAATATACCTGAGTGCTGTTCATAGTTTTTAGTCATATGATCATAAGTTTTGTATGCCTGTTAACTTTGCTCAACAAAAGTAGTAAAGTAATTGGAGGAAACACAAGGGAACTTCAAGTTCTAAACAGGAAAGACTGTAAAAAGGTGACTCCTGTGGCCCAAGGGTGTAAGGAAAGCTAACAGAGAGTTAACCAGACCCAGAACATCTACAGTGGCCCAAGAAATCTTCAGGAGGAGGAGCACACAGGAGTAACGGCAGAAATGATCCAATGTCAAAAACGTGCAAGAATTTAAAACAAACATATTTGGAGCACATTGTGGGTCAATTTCGACAAATTAAACATCAATGAATATCTAAAAAAACCCTCCTCAACCTTAAAAGGATATTCCGGTGTAAAATTAAGTTAGGGTCAAACACACCATAACACCAAGTTAGACACCCCATCGAGAGATGAATGTTGCTGACCACTTGCTTCACTAGTTATATAAACTTAAGTAACGTCTGCAGGGGGGTGACGCAGCTCAAGGAAGAACATTTATGATCATTACTTTATAATTTCCTTGAAGCAACAATCATCATATTAATCATTTTGCACTGCAGACGCAGTAGTTCTTCTGCTTTAGCGTCTCGGTCTGATTGCATTTGCATGAAGAAATGATCATAAATGTTCTTCCTTAAGCTGTGTCACCCCACAGAAGCTGATGGACTCGCCCAAGGGGTCTGTACAAACTGTAAGAGAGGTGGTGAGCCTCTTTGCTAAAGAAATCAGGCGAAGCTAAAAAGATGTTTGGTGGCCAGTACTATGGCTGGGACCCTATATGTACTGTTGATGAAGTTAGGTGCTAATCTGAACATTATTTGTGGCTATACAGTGGCTTTTTGGTTGAGTGCATGGCTCTCTGTATTGCTATTGTGCGGTCATTACTATAGTTGGTATAACTAGAGAAGCAAGCAGGCGGCAACATTCGTCTCTCGACAGGGTCTCTTACTCTGTGTGAATTAATTTTACGCAGGAATATCCCTTAAATGTTCTCTTTTTCTTCACTATTATAGGTTTAATAACCCAGTTCTGAATCTTGTGGCTGTAGTGGTTTTAAACTTACCCCCAGATACCAAACTATTCCAGTTTTGCATATAAACTAGTTCTTTTTTTTGCTGGTATCATTTGTGTATTTGCAGCACTTTTGCTGTCCATGCAATTGTTTTGGCTTTTTGCAGCATGCTTCTTCACTTGCAGTGTGATTCCATTGTGATATTGATTTTGGACTTTTGTGTGTGTGTGTTTTTTTTATTTTTTAATTGTATATCTGCATTTGCAGCACATTTCTGCTGTTAAAGATCTCTCAGACCGTTGCAGATCATTGGCCCTTGTTAGCCACCATATTTTATCTAATGAAGTCTAGAGTACATTACACTTTATAAATAAAAAATATGGCCTGTTTGATTTGGTTTTGGACTGATTTGTTAATTTGGTAAATGGAAATTATCTTCTGTCCTTTTGTCCGCCCTTCATCACTATTTAAAGAGAAACCTTCATTTTCCTTCTCTCTTCTCTTCCTTCACACCTTTTTCTTTTTTTATCTACTCCGAGGCGTAAACTCTCTATGATTTTAGATATTAGCTGGCAGCTTAATATACTTTACTACTTTTAACACTCCAAAAATAACAGTGAATACACATTAGGACCCTACATAGTCAATCCCACTTTCCCCCTTACTGTGACGCCCCCTGAAACTGAGTGTTTTCACAAGCACTCTTCTTCAGTGCATACATGCTCTACTATTTTTTTTGAAATCTTTAATATCAAAGTGACCTTTGATGATAGTCTTTATGTCATATCCAATGGCTCATAACGAACACGGTGTTCAGGAGTGATCCTCAAACGTTTTTCACTGCTTCCACACCACTAATCCAACCACCACTCACACCGCCCTCCCTTTCTCACAGAAGCAATAAATGATGGAGCTGCGAAGGCCACAGTGGGTCGAGAGGAGGCGTCGGGTCAACCCCCAAAGGTCCAGCAGGATCACAGGAGTCATTACCCACTGTCACTATCGATCTGCCTGCTGCTGCCCTCACACATCACTGAGCCGTGTCAGAAATTTATTACCAGCACTCTCCGTCATTCTGTCTGTCTTCATGTGTTCTCTGTTAGTATTAATCATATGTTTATATACCTGTACATGACATGAAATAATCTATACCCATTGATTAGAAATCAAGACTCACAGATTTATGTCCTTTCTGTGTTTTTCTCCCTGGTGGACAATTAACCTTTCTTCCTTTCCTTCTCTGGTCATAACCTGCAGAGCAACATCCTCGACCTGGGGACTCACATGGTGAAGTCTGTGGACGAGACAGAGCAAACACTAATGAACTATAATGTCCAACATGTGTGGCTGCCCTTATGACTGCAGTTGAATGACAGTGTTCATTAAACACGCTCATACTTAAGTGAGCAGTGAACTGCTCATGAATGGGAACATGAAAGTAGTTAACTCTGGATCAGTGAGCTCACATTGTGGGAGGATCAGAGAGTTGCCAAGAGTTACCCAGCTCTAGGTTTTAAGGTGGCTGGAGTCAGATTTACAAATCCTAACATCCATTCAGCATACTAGATTATGCTGCTGGCAACTCAGATGTAGTTAAAGTCAGCTGATCTGAACATATGATGTATGTTGATGGTGAAAAACAACATATAATTTCCATGTTTAGTGCTTACTTCTTCTGGTTCACCAAAGCTGGTCAGCTATACTTCATGATATTAAAAAAGGATCATATATGTATACTTGAGGGGACTGTGCATCACTAGTTTAATTCACTTTAAATGCTTTTTGGTTTTAAAATTTTTGTTTTAACAAGAACTAAATAAAATGCCAGATTTCACAAAGTATTTTTGTACCATAAAAAATGGAAAGATTTGAGCTCTTTTGCCACCTGCATTTTTCCAGAAACTACAGATCTTACAAATCACTCTTATTTTTAAGCTTTTAAGTAACATCCTTTATCACATCAAAATTTCAGCTTGTATTTTATTTAGTTTGAAACAAAATTTCTCACTTTTTAGTCCAATAGTTACAGCTTGTTAGCATATCTGTTACAGCCTCTCATTGTGCTCATTCTGTCCCTTGGCTTTTCAGACGCTCTCTTCACCTGCTGCCTCCTGCTACTCTCCCTGCTCTCCTCTCTCTTTCTGGGGCTGCCTGATTGTTTTTACCACTGGTGGACAGCATGTTGAAGATACAGCAGTCCTCCGTTAATGTTAGTGAAGCTGCAACTTCCTGGTGTTCCCAAACTTTGTTTTACGTTGATCTGAGCTGCTGATGATGGGTGAAAGTGAAAGTAAGAGCTGTTTGAGGGGAGGGGCACCCAAGACAGTGACAAATAATGGGGACAACACAGCTGCCGCCACAAAATTGTTCAGTATAGACGATCATATTTTATGATCTGGGGGGCGACTTCATAGGCAGAGCTGTATTACCGCATACATCTTACGTTTTATTTTTCATTTTCATTTTTCTTACTTCACTTCATTTTCACTTATTCATTTTCATTTTTGTTAAAAAAAAATACGTTTTATGCAAATTCTGTTGCAAAAAAAGACTTAAAAAGTGATAACAAATGTTCATTTCCTTATTTGGACACGGGAAGTGATTATAGCATGTGTTAGTTTGTATTTGGTGGTGAAAAGATAACCTGCCATTTATTTATTGTATTGAAATACATTGCCAAATTAGTACAGAACAGTGTCACAAATGGACATACTGGGAAAAACCAGGTCAGATAATGTTTTAGCACAAATTAGATAATGTTTTCAATGTCTTTACATTAGATTGTTACAGTTAAATGTAGTAAAGATGATCACATGTGTAAAGGAAGCGTCCCCTGAGTAATTGGAAGAGTAGAGAACTGGTCCCGTTCAGTCAAGTGGCCATTACTTCAGAATATGGTATAGAGTCTGGTTGAGGCTGCTAAGAAAGACCTTCTTTAAGAGTCTTTGGAACAGCAGCTAAAGATGAGTATGTTGCTAAAGTTGCTCTTCAGATTGTCTGGTCCATTGTCCAAAAGAATCAGCACTTTGTCGAGTATTCTGGCCTTGACCACTTATCCTGCAAAGCTGCAGGTCAACAACAGGTTCAGTCTTCTGAACTGTTTATTCAGTCTGGTGTCCTTTGCTGTCACACTTGCACCCTAGCACACAACAGCAAAGACTGTACTTGCAAAAGACACTCTAATAGTAGACGGATGATAAAACATGAGGAGCATCCTGATGCAAAGATGTTTTTACGTCTGCTTTGGTACGTGAATTTGGCTTTCATGCACTACTTTGACCATAAATTGCACAAGATTGCGGTTAAAAGTTGATGTACAGAAAAAAGAGACAATAAATGGTGCTCTGATGAGAGAATGCAACAACAGGGAGCAAAATCCTGCAACTAAGACATCTAAAAATATGAATGTTTCCCTTTTGGATACTGAATTTTCCTCTGCTTCTTGTGCAAGAGACAGGAACTGATATGATTTTTGTGCAAATCATAAAGATATCACTCTAACTGCACCTTGAATAGTGCACGGGTTAAGCAGAAGATTAGGATTTCAGGCTCCAGGGTGTTGTAACACTGATCTGCTCTTGTAATGGCAGCTGCAGGCTCATTTCTCTCCCTGTTGAACGAGGACACCTACTGGCACTCAATCCACCTCCAATATGACTTTTCTCCCACATCTCTCTGCTCCTGCACCCTTCCCTTAAACCCCCCCATCTCCATTTTCTTGATGCATCTTCCTCACAAGCGTATATTGTCTTCTTTGAAAGCTGCGTGTCACAAAAGATTACAGTGAGTGGTAGAGAGGATTTAGCGTCAGAGCCCAAAGTAGCTTCCTGCCACCCCCCACCCCCCTCTCTCCCCCAGCCTATGAGAAAAAGCTGATTAGGTAATACATAATGCATCTTTTAAGACCTTTCATGAAGCTCCATGAGTTATGAGACAAGCTGTCCATGGCAAATGTCATGTCATGGATTCGAGTTCATCCTCTCCAGCATCTTCATGTATAAGCTGACAAAATTTCTACTCACCATTATTCTGACTGATATAAATATCACAATTATAAATCTTATGTGTTCATTAATTTGAATGTTAGTTTAGCCGGCAGGGCAACCTCATGTCGCATCTGTTTTTGTGGCTAAAGTAAAATAGGGTGACCATACGTCCTCTTTTACTTGGACATGTCCTCTTTTGGGGGGCTGTCCGGCCTGTCCGGGGGAGTTTATAAAATCCTTCAAATGTCCAGGGTTTTGTATGGAATTTTTTAGTTTGTGTAGCCTGGACTAACTGAGTTAGAGGCATGTGAAAGACACTCGACCTGACCTGAAAAACCCTCAAAATTTTGCGCATGACTCCGCCCTGCATAGTAGTGTCCTCTTTTGGGGGATTCAGAATATAGTCACACTAAGTAAAATAAACTTTACATAAGTGAGTCCAGAAATTACTGTGATGAATTAGTTCACATACAAATCATTTCCCTACATTTAAGTCACTACAGCCTGCAACCTGTAAGATTCGCCCTAAAGCTTGTGTAAGGAACTTTTACTATGTGTTGATTATGGCGCCCCGTGTGGACAGAGGGTTGTACATATGCACTTAGTTTTCTTGGCCTAATTCTCATTTCGCTTTATAATTACAGACAAATATTTCACTTAATAAAACTGACAAAAGCATCATCAACAATGTTAAAGCTGCTGTATGGAACAAAAGCACAACAAAAACAAAGAATTTGTGTCTTTGTGTCATTTATTGTGAATATTTGAAGTGGAAATCATAAAAACAGAATAGTCTCTTTAGCTGCTCAGCTGACGACTACCTCCTCACACCAGTGTAAGGAACCTAAAATGATAATACAACAATCTCAAGTCTTGTTTCTGATGTGCGGTTTTCTCTTTGAGATATCATGTTAATGCATCATTATAAATTTTAATCTATTTCAATCGCATAAAAAAACTCTCATAGAAGCTTTAAATTTCTTACTGCCTCCACACACCATGCAAAAGTAAAAACATTCATGCGAATAAATTACGCGTTAAGTCTGTGCAAAAACACAATTAGGTGCTTGTACTGCTCTGGCGGGAGCTAAAAATTCCTCGATTTGAGCGGATATTCGCATCACGATAACCAATCAGCACAATGGTTTCCAGGTGATGTATGAAAACGGACTGTTGTTCACTGGTATCTAAAACGGAGGACAAACAGTAAACTGCTATAAACAGCTATCCACTTCTTTTATTTATATTTGACGTGCGAATGAAGCGAGTAAATACTATTCATTCATGCATCTAGATTTGCCAAATTAAGGGAGTAGATGATTTTACTCGTGCTTGATGTGAGTGCGCCATTAGACTCAATCAGACTCCTGCCAAGGCTGAGCAATACAGCAGTATGGTCCGTGTACTTGGCTGCCAACGGATTTTCATTTTCAAATAAAAAAAAAAACAGAAAACAGGAGACAGGCCCTGTCCCGACGACCAGTATGGAATTTAAAAAATGGAAAACAAACCATTTTTCATTTTTCGTTTTGATAATAAAAATCGGAGAACGAAAAAACAACTCAGTCAGTATAAAGTAAACCGTGTGAAAATCCATTGAGAAATGAGCAGGATATTTATTTTCCATGTACATCTAATGCATTTAATTGGAACGTTGCCTGCACCAAGATGGCTGCTATGTAAGCAAGTTGCTCAGTGGGCTACAACAGCACGCTGGTGTATGTAGTATATATATCTGTGCGAACAAGACCCTCTTGCTCACAACTTCCGTGTCGTGACAAACAATTGAATGAAACTTGAAACACAAAATTTCCATGCACGTATTTTGAGCTTCGACTTCCGTTTGTAGCCACATCACAGAATGTCAAACACTGTTATTTTTTCGTTCTCTGATTCTTATGATCAAGACGAAAACCAGAAAATGGTTTGTTTTCCGTTTTTCATTTTTTAATTCCCTACCTGTCGATTTTTGTTTTTTCATTTGACAACGAAAATCCATTGGCCGCTAAGTACACGGACCCGATACTCACTCATTTTATTGATAGTCTCCTTTGCCTTTTCAGGTCATCAGGGATCATTAACATAAACTGCAGTTCATTCGTAACCAGTGAAACATCTCCTCACAGGAGCTTTAATGTTTGTTCGCACAAGCACTGTTTTTGGTGTTTGTAGATATTTTATCCGTGTTCGTCATCGTTCTGTGTCTGTTTGCAGTGGTTTCTGTTTTCTCTACCTTTTTATGGTCATTCTCAGAGTTTCTGCTGTCTTACTGTTAGCTTGGATTTATTCTGCGTCTGTTTGCCGTCATGCT